TAAAATATATATATGAACTTTTCTTGAAAACAATCATTTAATTCACCGCTCATAAGCGATTTATTCCTCTATTTTTCCTTCATTAACCCCCTTCCAATCTTTTATAACATTAACAACTACTTAAGAAACATAATCAACTAAGGCCCATTTTATCTTCCATTGCCACACATACAAGATGTGCCTTTTCAAAACATATTTGGCATTTCAATTGCATTCCAATTATATCATAATTATCCATGCACACCTCTATAAAAAAGGATAACAACTCAACTTACATACATACAATCAATCAATGATCAACTCGTCCCTCCAACCACTGTAACAAAACAAATCCACAATGTTTCCAGAATACACTGAAAACAATAACACAAAACAACACGCACACTAGCTATATGCCGTAGTAAGCCAATAGATACACTTCTCACCACAATCTACCAGTTTACCAGGCGCTCAGCTGAAGGGTATGGTTACCTTAGATTATTCAGCGGTCAGTTCTCCAGGCGCTAGCTGAAGGGTTATGATACCCTTTGATTATAAGCGCTGAACACATTTAAAGGGGTGGTTGTGGAGTTCCATCCCATATTCTTCTCACACACACTGGTAGTACAACCTTCTCTTCTCCAAAACAGTATACAAATATAATTGTAATTCGGCATTTCATTACATTAATGTTCATCAAACAATGGTGTATTACATACACAGCAATTCAACACAACCACGTCATCCTCCACCGCATGACCATAGGATAAAAACCTCTCTAGATGCAAATATTTAGTACACCTATTAAAGACTCAATACTATGAGGACCACAACCCGACAAAAACATTAACCATGGTAGTTCAACATACAATTCCACACATGTGTGTGTTCAACCACTCATGAAACAATAATCCAATTTTCATACGTATTTCAAAACACTTTTTCCCATTTCACAAAACAAGTTCCACTTCCCTTCTTGTTTTAACAAAAACCAACTCCGTTCCTCTTTAGTTGTCACAAAACCAAAACCATCCCTTTTATTTTACAAAAAACTGATTTCTACCAATAAGGAAGCCATAAATCACATTTAGTACACTACATCATTTCAAACCCATTTCAAAGCCAAAGTTAACCCCTTAGCATTAAACCACCGTTCACCCACTCACATCAAAACGAATAGAGAGTTACAATTTAGGTTCATTATTCTCCATTTTAATTTATCATCAAAATATGATTTAGGCCTTTTTCCTTTAGTGCGAGAGCGTGAGCGAGAGCGAGTGCGTGAGTGTGTGACACTCCAATAGGCCCAAAACAAACTTCTCAATGATAACATAACCATTTTCAAAAAACCCAACCCTAGGTTCCTTCCCATGATTTCAAACAAATCCAACATGGATATGATTTATATGCAATACAAAAATTACCACATGTCTATCTATAGACGAAAGTATTGAACAAAGAACAAGGAGAATCCCATACCCCGATAGAGAAGACGGAGATGAAGACCCAAAGACCAGTGCTCCAAATCCCCAAGTTTCTCAGATTAAAACAAAGCTCTCGCGAAAGCCTACATTCTTCCAAAGAACTAAGGTAGAAGACCACCAGGAATAGATTCAAAACTTAGAGGAAGGTAAGAGTAGAGAGAGAAACTTCTCAAGGGGCGGTTTTTTAAAAGATTAAGAGAGGAAAAGTACGTCAAAAGTGATTTCCCAAAAAGTGGAAATCACGGACTGATGTAGTCGACTCTCCGCCTCAGAGCGTAGGAAAACCCCGCTCGAGCGTAAGACACAGACTCACGCCGAGCTGTGGAAAAAAGAGCCGCTCGAGCGCTGATTGCACACTTCCAGGAAGGTTTTGCAGTTCTACTCTCCGCTCGAGCGGTAAAATTCCCCGCTGAGCGTATGGACAAAAACAAAGGATCACGCTGAGCCTTTAAAAAACTACCCGCTCGAGCGGGAACTAACTGCAGAGTAAAGTACTGGGAGATGAAAATCACGCTTAAGCTCCAAACGTTGACCGCTCGAGCGGGAGGTAAGCCAGCAACAAAAAGCCCGCTCGAGAACGTTAAAACCGCCGCTCGAGCGAAAAGAGACCCAAAACCTGGCAAAATTTTCAAAGCTTTAAAACACAACAACTAATTCCCAACTTGCCAATCCACAACCCAAAACTCTAAAACAAAGGAGTAAGGGATAGAATGAGGATTAATACAAACAACGAATCTACGGAACTGAGGTCCAGATTATGGATATACAACAACAGGAATACCGGATCGCTTATAAGCCTTAAGTGGCAGCTCGAAAGCACGCCCTTGTTTAAATCTTGCACCCTCCATTTACCTTGGCCATTGATTTCTTTGAACTTTCGAAGGGTGTGATCTTTGCTGTAAGAATTGATATCTGCTAACCTCTGTTGCTTTACTAGTCCCCCCCTTATGCTTGACTCATTAAGGGAGCAGCTCTAGGGTTGTTGCAACCCAGAGCGGTTGGTGGGTCAGCTCTGTTTATAAACATCCCTGGGTTGTGACTAGGTATCCATTGCTCTGTGGATTATTCAAACCTAGAGTTGCTTGGGTCACACCATCCTTATTAGGTCCACCCTATTAGGCCCATGGACTTATTAGAGGCAATGGTGAGGTTTGAATTAACAAACTTGACTGGGCCTAAAAAACACCTCCAGATTCACGCTTGGCTGGGGTAAATCAGACCCACTGACGCTTTTCACAAAGCCAGGAGTAAAAATAAGCCATATCAACTAAATCGGTTTTCACATCTGCAACAGGCCATTGTGTCCTGACATGTTGTCACATTTCTCAGATGCGTCTCCAATACTCGTCTCTCCAAGTCTCGAGCCGTCTCCTTTATTACAGAGATAGCCATCAGACATCTTACCTGACAACTCCTTTTCTTTAATGCTCCTTGTTATACACACGCCACCAACCAGGTTCCCTTACAGGCCCACCTCATCGTTCATGCCACCTCATCATCTTCTTTCCTGAGGATTACACCATTGCAACGAGTGGCTCATCCCCCCTGCTGCATTAAACAGAAAGTAGCCTCCTGCATATGAATATTAGAGAGAAACTTGGGTTTTCGTATGAAGGGGTCGACTACTTGCTCTTCACAACTCGGATCTGGTTGGAGTGTGCCTTTGCAATCCAGAAGTTATCACTGTTAATGGCATTCCATTACTTTGGTTGCTAATTTTGGACTACCACGAGGCAAAGTGGACATCAATGTCTCTATCATCGCAATGACACACCCCAGAGCATGCCAATACTCTGAAATGATAGAGTCAGAGAATTGAGGGGTACTCCATAACAGCTAATCCATTTACCTCCCTTTCATGCTCAATGACTGTGTCCTTGGTCCAACGTGTGATGAACCACACCATTCTGGGTCCAAAGTTCCAGCTCCTTTTTGCCTATTCATTGCTTCTTTCTGATTTGAAAGAGAGAATGTCACCGATTGCCTCCAATCTCTCTAACGGTGAGCATCAGGTCCATACCTGCTTGACACTTCTATTTATGGAAATCAGATACAAGCGCAGAGAAGGCTTGAGTTTGGCAACTAGGCTCTCATGTGCCACCTATTTCCATATTTCTCACTTAACTACTATCCTTTCGTCCCTTCGCAGTCCTTGTACCAGTCACCACATCGGCATAACTTGTACAGTATTCCGTATTACTGGGCATACTGACGTGGATTCTATGGTTGTATTACCCTACGCCTCTCTGCCAGCAACCCGCTGCTTCCCATTTTTTGCTTTGGGCTTTACTGAACTCTGCCATCTTTACCTTGTATCTCGCGATTGTCACACCAAGTGCCATGCGCCTTTTTGAATTAGCCACTCTCGCCAGCGACTAGACAATTATATCTGAAAAACCAAACTGTGAGCTTGTGCCTTTTCTTCCTCTTGATCGGGATGTAAACATCCATTACTACTAAACCAAACTTAGACAGAATAGTGAAAAACAGCGCTTAGGATCTAAAATGTTTCCGGTATAGAATTATCCACAAAAGAATGGTGTGAATTATCTTGAGATCTCCGGTACCCTTGCTTTCCTGCGAAATACTAGAATCCATCCATCTCCTTTTTCCCTCCATTCCAGCCAAGGGTTGAGTTTTTTAACATATTGAAAAAGGAAATTGCCAAAAGTGGTAAGTATTATGAAAAAAAATTTTATGTATAGCATATGAGAAATTACATAGAAAAAAAATTGGGATTGAGTTACCTACGGCTGTGCCATAATGTTGTTGTGTTGACGGACACATCCAACATTACTATTGAGCTTTTTAAAGTTTGCTTATATTGAAACATACAGTTGCATTTTTAGTTATACAGTTGCGGATACTATTCTGGCATATCAGGTATTTAAAAGCATTGAATCTGTCAATTAATAAGTTTATATAGTATAGCAACTTAAAAGGTAAGTGTTCCTCTTAAAAAATAATTATTCTTTTCATATGATACATT